TCTTTCTGTATTTCCCCCTCTTTTTTTAAAAGCCAAATGGTTCATGGCTTTCCTTTTGCTTGTTTAATCGTTTTGATATATTAGTTAGAGTTCTTTCTTTTCTGGCCTACCTTAATGATCCTCAAGTGCTTTCTTCTCTTTTAGTGTCATCAGAATATGTTTACAGTTTATCCTGTTTTCCAGTGCTACGTATTTGTAGAATTTAAAACACGTCACTTGAACCAAGGCCTCAAGAGAGCAATAGCTGTCAGTTTTAACAACTGGCACAACTTGGTGCCGTCAGCAGATCGCATAAAGTTGACTTCCCTTGGCTGGAGCCCAAGGCAGGGTTCAGCCTGCCCAATTTCCAGCCCATGGAAAGCAATTCCTGAGGCAGAAGAGGGAGGAGAGCCAGCGCACACCTGGGCTCTCCCGTGAACGGGGTCAGGACACAAAAGGAGCCCTGTGGGGGCTAGTCTCACACTAAAGATCACACTAGTCTAGCAATGCACTTGCTACTTCAGATGCAAGGGAACTACATTTTTCTCTAAAAATCACACAAATGGTTTGATTTTGCTTGTTAACATTCATTCCACAGTTATTCCGGTGTATCTTTTAATTAGACTATCAATCATTCCTCTGGAAATGGAAATTTTTAAGTCTGGTCTTTTAGGATCTTATCTTTTCCACAATAAACTTGATTTAGTCACTGTACAGGTTTCAAAAGAGTAGCTTTTTTTAAAGAATTATATCTAAAACGGTCAGTCTTGCATCAGATCTTCCAGCCTAAACTCCATTAATATATTCACTGTTTCACACTGCACATCTTTCAGATGTGTTACCAAAAGAAATCATTAATTCAACACCTGAATTTGTCCCATTGCTCCACAATTTTCCTCTCAAAGATGACAGTTTACCAAGGCCAAATTGCTGACGCCCTTTAAAATTCAGTTAAGGGTCAGACTTCCCATATTGTTTTAACTAACATCACTACCTACCTGACCCCTTTTTTGTTCTGTAGCAATACTAATATTCTTACTGCACTTCTGCAGGGATTTGAAGCTCCTAAGACTTCTGTCACTGTAAGTTTTTTCATATTGAAAACGGCAAGAGTGCTGAACAATTTGTTGCGAGTGTATACTCAAGGCGAGTTAACCCAAATTTGGTTGTTTTTTGTTCAGAAAAACCTAGCCAGAGATAGTAATGGGAAGGGATAATGATCTGATACCTGCATCCTGAAGCATTTGCTTCTTATTTCCAAGCAGTTTCTGGGAAGAAGAAAAGCACTGTAACAGCATTGTCCCGTTCTGCACACGCCTGTGGCAACATGCGCTACTTGTTCTCCTCTTTTCCTAAGGAACTTAGGGCACTTTTTACCCTCTTTGGCATCAAAATCCTTCTGAGAATGAGGAACAAAGGCAAATACCCCAGAAGATGGCAGATTTGAGCTTAGTCAACAGCCTTTAGAAAAGCCTTCTGAGTCATTCCTCTTCAGCCTGTATTTTCCAACTAAATTAGGAACTCTGTATTTAAAGAGACATGCATGTGCTGTCACCACCAAAATGTCCTAAAAGTCCTTCTCAGTAAAGGTCAAGGACCTGAAATCTGTCAGATGTTTTTTTTTAAAAAAAAAAAAAGGAAGCATTTGGAAATAAATTTTCAACAATAACAGAATGCATTGATCTTACTTTACTCTTTGGACATAAAATACAAATTTTTATAAATAACAGATTACCAAAACACCTATTAGAAGGAAGAAACTTTTTGCCACCATTTTTTTCAGCCGTAATCCTAATATACCTGTTCAACAGCAGGTAAATATTTGAGCTGCATTACTTTCATGATCAATAGATAAGAAAGATAAATATGTGTGGGTGTAGATATATATATAGATATATATATATATATATATTTTACTGTCAGATATATTATATTATGATGCCCATCCTGTTTTTCTCATTCACAGGGAAATTTACACAGGAGCTTTACCCAAATAGAAGTGGCAGGCTCAGGAGCTTTATTACTTCTAATTTACTGTAGATATGCAGAAGTTTCCCAGACATTGTAGTTTATTGTCCTGCTCCCTCCCAAATTGCACCTTTGGCCACATGGTGCAATTCACAAAAACTGAAATTGCCCAAGAGGTACATCTAACAAATATGTACTGAATATGCATGGACTTATAATTGCTGCATTTTATCAATGGCAGGCAAAAACTCATAATGAAAACTGCACTAGGTAAAACCCCTCAGAGCAATGGAAGCCTATGGACTGTATGGTATTAGACTTACAAGAAATAATGTCGAAAAATATGCACAAGCAACAAGGACACTAGTCACCACCACTGCTCTGTACCTGTAAGTAACTCGATTTTAAGTAGCAAATGTCAGATCTGTAGGTTCGTTATTATTAGTGGTCCGTTCATACATGTCCAAAGATAATCAAGAAAATACGACATCGTAACACTTAATGAAAGACTCTATTGAGATTTTGAAGCTGCAAATTACATCAGGGTAGAGAATTTGTTTCTCTGTTTTCATTACAGAGCTCTTCATTTTACCTCTGGAGGATGAAAGCCCTCTGTTCTGTAAGGTGGAACGAGAGACCAAGGGGGTGGCGAAAGTAAGCCTATACACTCTACAAGCTTTTTGTTACGACAGCCAAGAGTTCTGGGACTAATTCCAGCAAACTTAATCTCATATCCGGCGAATAAATTCAGAAACACTCACCATGATTCCAGTGAGTAAACAGACACCTTTCCCACAGTACGTATTAGGTACCATGTCACCATATCCAATGGATAGAAAAGTTATTGAGATCAGCCACATTGCCCCAAGAAAGTTGCTAGTAACATCCTGTTGATCATGGTACCTGAAAAGAAAAAGAAAACAACTTCTTTATCACAAAAACCTCTAGTAAATTTTTGTGCTGTCAGAAAGGGATCTCACTAACTGGTGATCCAGCTGTTCTTGTATTCTGCAATTATTTCTTCTTTAAAAGCAATTATAAGGGATAATATAAAACTCAAATACAATGACATTACCAGTAAAGAAACAGAAGACACAACAAAAGCACAAGTAGCAGGGATACTCATATCACAGAATCACAGAATCATTTAGGTTGGAAGGGACCTCTGGAGATCATCTAGTCCAACCTCCCTGCTCAAGCAGGGTCACCTAGAGCATATTGCCCAGGATCACATCCAGACAACATTTTATACTTCAGTATTCTCTTGTTATTAAAATAGCAGAAATCCTGGGTTTTGATAGAGTCTCTTCATGGGGGGATACAAGTCCTGTTGACCCTCTGCAGTTGCATAAGACATCCGTGTATTATAGATGCTGCTGTCTCAGGCATACATGGAAGTCAGAGATGGATGTGTGGGCAAGTAGAGAGCAGAGCAGATTTCCATCTCCTCAGCCTAAATGTAACTCTGTAATCAGAAATCTAATAATGGACTGTCATGTGAATGCTGAATTAAACAACCTAGGATCCTCACTCTCCTTCAGCATGTTCAAGATAAATAGAACTGTATGCTATTGTATTCCTCGTCACCACAAGATCTTCACCTTAAAAATAAGAAAGCCTCCCTTTTGTGTTAATGTCAGCTATTAAATGTAATTTTCTGATGTGCCATTTGGTGTCTTAGTTTTCATATTCTAATGGAATATGTTCATTTTCTCCTTTAAAGAAAACAAGCTCAAATGAATAATCGAGTCTTTACATTACATATAGACCTAATCAACTGAGAAGCCATTAGGACATGTTTTAGGGATAAAACCTGCTGTTACCACTCTCTCTGCAGGAAGAAAGGCCTAACGGATTAATGTAGATGCAGTTTTGCTTCCCAGACACAGAGTAGCTCTGCAACAGAGACAATCTCAAGGTTGTAATAACCCCTGCAGCTGCTGTGAAGCCTCCGGTTAGTTATCTATGCTGTTGGATCCTCAAGGGTATTATTTTAGCTAATCCCCAAATCAGCGTCTCACAGTGGGTCACAGGGTGCCACGGGGGATTAGCTCACAAATCCATAAGCAACCCACTTTCCACCGCTGAAATAATTGC